GTATTGCAGCGGATTTTCCAGTTGTGGTCAGTCATCCCCTGCCACACGAAATGACGACAACTTTGCAGTTTTGCCTAGAAGCCCGGCGGCTGTGGACAGTTGTAAGCCCAAACGAATCATCGAACCTTGGCACATTTTCGCAGCATCTTCCGCACCACTCCTGCATGGACAATTTTGAAACACGTTGTTTGAGGGTGAAATTTTCCGAAAATGACGAATGTCTTGGGGTTTCCCGGAAATGGGATAAATTCCTTTTGGTTGTTTCCCATGTGTTCGCAAAGGAACCCAAGTTGTTCCGAAAATTGGCGGTAAATATCAATGAGGAGAGGTTAACCAACAACAATGGAGATGCAACCGATGCTGGTAGGGTGAAACAGACAGTTTAACCCCACGGGTGTGTATATATAGAAGACACAAGAAGTACGTGAATCAATGTTTCATTTCTCAAGTCATACCTTAACTTCCACATTCCACTGGCCCCAAAGTTTATGAACTGCCACCACCAAAACAGGAATCCGGAACAAGACACACCAACCACCCCTCCAAGTGGCACCTCCTAGCCAGTTCGACGCCAGCACGAAAGTGCGAAAGGCCTTGCGTCAGCACGAAAGAACAAAAATGCGAGCTCTGCTGCCCCTCGACACTCCGATCCAACAAGTGGCCATGTGGAAGTGGAGACGACCAATGCAAGACCTGCCCACACCAGTAGGTCGACGGACTGGTGGTTCAATCCCGACTCTACATTACACTAAAAAATCGATGAGTTCAGAAGAAGAGAAAAAACATATCGTCACAAAACGGCGCCTTAGAGCATGAAGCAGCATGGCTCTGGGAGGCCGTTCAGAAAGAACGCGTTGGTGTTGTAGTCGTTCTTCTTATTTGTTCTGGCTTCTGTCTTTTATCTTGTTTTTGGTTACACGGTGGTTCGGAGCCCCTGGTAATTCGTACATTTTCACCAGTAGTACCGCACAAGGCAGTGGCGGGAGTTTCTCAAAGGTAGGAGCACTATAGGAAAGGTTGAGTTGTTGGATTGTCGATGACGGAGTGACAGGTGGTTGGGGTGTCGATGTTTGAT